CAATCTTCACTAAAATACCTGTTCTAACTATCTTTTTCAAAATCTGACACATTTCATTTGTTTGGCACTTGGAATTCACCAAGTTCGCTAGTTAATCTTCGTAAAATGTTTCAAATGTCTAATTCGTCATTTTTATTAGCCCGGGTTAAAGAAACAACTTATATTACAAGTAATTGTTGTATAATTGAAGGGTGGGCGGAAATAACGTGCTATGTAACATTTTTTCGGATTTCATATTTTTGCGGAATAATATCAATATCAATAGTAATATCAATTTATTTTAAAAATCGTAAAATTCCTAAAATATTTTTATTGTACACGATCATCGTGTAGAAACATCACTGTTCACAGTAAGTTGACACGCCGTGCGACGTGCGGATATCACGATTGTGCAACATACATTTGAAATAATTTTGTTTAAGTTTAATTCATAAATGATCACATTTCACAATATAATAAAATAATGATCAAGTTATAAAAAAATAGTCTAATATATAAGAAGGTGCTACGTGCGTTCCAGATAAGGAAGAGTATGCAATTATTGGCATGTCATAATTCTTTTATTGATATTTAATGTTGTGTTTGCCCTATAAGAGACTTTTTTTTTTCTAATATATGGTCATAGTTTTCGCTCCAAAAATTATTAACATTTTATCTATACCGATTGATGAACAATTTGAAAGGATAAGAAGAACACTTTAAACATCGACGAAACAAGTAAGAAATTAATACATTTTGTTATAATTAATATCGTAAAAATATGATTCAACACGTTTAAAAATGGTGTTTTATTTTAATGTTGTGTTATTTTTAATTCAGAAGAACATTTTTAACTATGCATGAATTAAATTGGTTTAAGAAAAATGGTTTAAGAGCATACGGATTTTATCCTTGAAATCTAAATCAAATAAATTTTAAAGAAATGTCTTGGAAAAAACAAATTAGCTGAATTAAATGATTTAACTAATAGAAACATTGTTGAAAGTACCACTTACAATGATGTTTTAAATAATCAATTTTAAAAATTTTTCTAATATTGTTGGCGAAGAAACGGTTTCAAAGTTTAAGAACATTCAAAATTTTGTTGAAACTAAAAATCATCCAGAAGAATTTTTCACTTTGTAAAGACTGTATGAAAAATTAAAAAATAATGATGACAATATAAATGTTGAAGTTGAGAAAAATACACTAGTCAATCTGTATTATCTCCTCAGAATAAAACTTATAATCAAATAAACTTTTAAAAAATCATCAAACATTCCCGAATCAAACATTTTTGAAACATTAATACAAACATCTAAAAATCATATGAATATTAAACAGTTAAATATATCACCTATGAAATCTAGCTTGGTATGGTCTATAACACCTAAACTAAAGAATAAAAGAAAAACCGAAAGAGTTTCATTTGTTATAACATCCGAAAATTGGAAAAATTTGTACGAACAAAAAAAAACGACTAAATGTACAATTGAAGAAAATAAATAAAAAAAAAACAACAAAACAAAAAATGTCTAGAAATCTTTTTCCCTGTCTCAATAAAATTAGTAAACTAGCAACAGTCACAAGCCAAACAATTCATATTGAGAATACTAATATCGATAATCATAGTAATGAAGAGATGGATAATGAAATAGCTTCTGATTCAAATTTTTTTAACAGTGTAGTTGAAACAGGTTGTTGTACTATATGTGATACTGGAATCAAAAACTCTGACTTGGGTGTGGAATGCAGTTTTTGTAATATAAGATACCATCAACGATGCGCTAAAAATACATTTCAACATAATCTCTATCATGAAGGTATTCTATTTATATATCAACACTGTTGATCAATACTTGATCAATACTGTTGATTCAACAGTGCGAAAAATCTTTGATAATCAATTAAATAATATTTTTCTAGTCAACCTTTTCTTTTTTTATTTTTACTCATATTAAAAATTTTAATTTAAAATTAACTATTTTACAGTTAAGACTAATGCAAGTGCGCACAGGTATTTTAATTTGTATTATTTAATTTTTAGTTGTAATAACTATTTAAATTGTAATAATTACACTACATTGAAACATATAGACTGATGCAAATGTACATGTTTTATATTTTAAATTTTATATTTTTGTAATTACATTATAAATATTACCTACTATTAAGAGGACGTCATACCCAAAGTGAAATGTATACCCTCCTGAGGTCCAATGCCCATTATAATGGACAATTATTATTGCTTTAGCGCCCAAGCTTAATTTTATTTTTGTATTTTCATAAACCCGTTGTCCACTACAGTGGATATTTTCTCTTATCCCCACAAAAGCCCGCCATTTATATTATAGTTTTGTCAATATAACCTTAAACTAGTGATAATTTGGAAGGATAAACATGTGTTTGATCATTTTTATCTGGTACCATTTCATCGATAACACATATTTTAAAATGTCCATTGAATTGGACATTGGGCTTGTAATATTACAAAATTTAAATATGTGTTGGGCCTCAGGAGGATACAACGGTTAACAAAATGCGCTATTATGTGTTTTCGCGATCCGCAAGCGCGCGGCGTTTAAGTCACGCCCACTACTCGCAATCGGCGACCAGATGACGAGTGCTCTTCATTCGGGAGCGTGGATCAACGTACGTTCGTATAGGATGTATCGCATCATTATAAAATTAATACACGTAAATGCGCTGTAATATTTTAATTAGCCCTGCGTACTCATGAACTAACGACCATAACGTAAGCCATTCCTTGCCTAAATATATGTACCATTATATAGATCGTAGAAACTATATTATAACATAGCTCGATCTTTATTTATTGAACAATTATTACTTATTTAAATATAATACCTATACTTAGTAAAATATAATTTAATAAAAACTATTATATTGCTTTATTGCTAATCATTCTTTTGGAATAAAAATATATTTTTTTATTTAAAAAAAAGAATTATGTAAATTTTATCTAAGTAATAAATTTACAATAAATATCAATAAAATAGTTGATTTTATACGAAAAAAATTTTTTTTTTTTACTTTAGACGTTTTAACGTAGTTATTTTTAAATTTTTTATGTCAGTAATTAATAGTCGATGTTTAAAAGCTGAATCCACGATTTCCGGTAGTAAACAATTCCAGTAAAATGTATAAAAACAATTTGTCTTATCCTTTGACTACAATCACTAATAATATTCAACAATGGGACTTACGATTTTAATTAATCTTCTGTATTAAAAATCCAAAAGTTATCATCATACTTTATTTCTTTCATAGAAATCCATTGAGGAGAGTATATAATAAAATAGTTAACACCAGTGGAGCAACCAGGATTCGTTTTCCGGGGGGGGGGGGGGGGATGTGGAAAAAGAAAACATTTTTGACAGGTATTTGGTGGGGAAAAGGGGATAAAATTAAATAAGGTTTATGAGTAAAATATTTAAATTAAAAATTAAACTGTTTAACTTCTATTTATAGATAATGCACGTTGGAAAATAATTTAGACTCGTTGAATATTTAAATAGGGAAACTTTATTCATAAATCAAAGTCTAATAATTAATAATATAATAATTTACAGTTTAAAATTAATTCTCCATGTATAGCGCTTTGCCATTTCTTTTAGCACCAAATCTGCTTTAACTTCAATATCTGTATGTATATTTAAAGTAGCCATTCCATTAAGTTTCTGATGTCTTGTAGTGTTACGTAAATAACTTTTTAGTTTCCTACGTATAGAAAATGACCTTTCTCCTGTAGCAGTTGTTACTGGCAATGTAATTAAAATTTGTAATAGTTTTGAAATTACTGGATACACTTGAAAATCACATTGAAAATATTTATCTGTCAGATATCTTTTGTAATGTTTGACTGATTCCTAGTAATCACAACTTCGGTACCACAAGTCTAATTCTCCAAAACTCATTTGGTCACTTATAATAGAATCAGAATATTCATTTAATATGTCCGCATACAAATTTAAAATTTCTTTAAATTCTAGTTAAATTTCCTTAGTAACAACTTTTATTCCTGACTTTGGTAGTAGACAAATGAAACTTTTTAATATGGTTTGGTGTTCCAAAAATCGATTTTTCATTTGGTCCAAGAAATTGTCAATAAATGGAATTAATATTGAAACACGATAATAATGTTCTGGACAGTCAGTGGCTACATTGCATCTCATTGATTGTTTGCCTGTAATTCTTGGAACACAAATATTAATATTTAATTCATTACAAGTATCTTTAGTTTCCTGGAATATGGAATGAAATTGGTTATCAACATTATCTCTAATGTTTTAAACTGCATACTATGTTTGACAAACAAAATTTAAAGCTTTTTCTAGGTCCAAGTTTTCAGACTAGAGGAATTTGCTCAATGGTGCACTTAATAAATATATTTTTACTAAAATACTTAGAGAAATTTGAAATTTAAATTGATGTATTGAGGTATTTAACTGGTTCGCTGTTGTAGATGAATCTATATCTCTCCATTTATATAACTCATCTAGAGAATTAATAACGGCAAGCTGAATCTTATGGAATATCAATACAGCATCATGACATTCTACCCATCTTGTAGCACAAAATTGCTTTAATTTTGATGATTTGGATTCTGGTACTATGTTTTTAATAGATTCTTGTAAAATATCTGCCTTTTAGAATATCCAAAAAATGTATAAGCTGATTGCATTATCCCTATAGAATTCCTAATATCTACTACATTACAGCTGTATGATATTGTAAGGTTAAGGCAGTGAGATGCGCAATGCATATTTAATGCCATAGGGTGGTCGTTTCTAATCTGTGCCTGCACACCAATTAAACATACCAGACATTGCTGTTGCTACATCATACCCTTGACCAACTAAATATTTTACTTCTAATCCAATACTTTTTAAACATTCCAAAATTGTTGTAGCAAGTGCTTGTCCAGTGACTTCTTTGACTACTACAAACTGCGAAAAATCTTCTCGAATCTTTTTTTGCTCAGTATGAACGTATCTCATTCATATTGTCAACTGGTCTTTGTTTGATATATCAGTGATTTCGTCAGCTAGTACAGTGAACGCTTTAGATTTATTTATATCTTTTACAAATTGTTTTAAAATTAAATTTTTATACACTATAAGAATCTCATTTTGGATTTTCCAACTAACATACAACACATGTTTAGGACTATTTTGTAGATAATCTTCAAGATCTTTATCGCCAAAATCTACTCTAAACCTTAATAATTGTCTAAAATTTCCGTCATTGTCATCATTAGTTAATTCAGTACTTATGTCATTTTGATTAATAAGTGGTTTATTTTCCCGATGACCTCTAAGTGCGATTCCTTGTCTACCACAAAATAGAATAATTTTAAGTATGGGTAGAATGCACTTCCTATTATTTTCTATTTCTTTTTTTAATGTATTATTTGTTTGTAATTCCACAGAGTCAACTTAATTGTTTTTTCACAGCAAAAAAAAATGGTCATATTTGTACTGGCATGTTTTATTGTAATTAGTATTGGCATGCGTTTGAAATTGGCCTTTAGCACCTATTGCTTTTTTCCAACTATCAAATTTAACTGTCACTAAATTTCCTAAACTCTGATGAGCCCCTTTTTCTATTGTACCATGACTAAAAAGTATACATATCCTACTATATGCTCCGTTTTGCTCCTTTGAGTATTGTAACCATTTAAACTGAACCAACCATGAATATTGAAATTTTAAGTTCCTATTTCCAGATTTAGGAAATTTATAATCAGGACTAGGAAACCATAGTTTTTCTATTGCTATTTACTTTTCATTATCAGTTAACTAAAATAAAATTAAGGATGTAAGATCAGGTGCTACAATTAGTTAAAATTTATATTTTTGTTCATAAACAAATTAGCTTACATTTTTCTCTACATAATAAGATATATCATAACTATGTCCACTTAATTTATACAGTTTATTTGGTGTACCAGCTACAACAAGTTCATCAATAATGTTTATAAAAAAAAAGGGTTATGCGTTAAAAAGCAAGAAAATATGAAAAGGAAATAAAGTTTGCATCATAAGACATACAAGAAAATACATTTTAATTTCTAATAAAAAAATATAAGACATAATTCATAACAGAATAACAGATAGTGAAAAAAGATAAAGAAAATTTCCAAGCTAAATTAAAAATACTAAATACCACAATAATACCTACAATAATGCCTGGCTGATTTTAAAATCTTATAAGTTTATTCAGATTTTATAGATTCAAAGTATATTTTTATCTATATTTAATGCTAATACTACATCAATGTGCATATGTAAAAAAAAAAAAAAGCTAGAAAGCAACAATAAGTATAACTGTTAAATTTTAAACTATAAGTCAAACAGGGGCGTATTCAGACTTACTTCTAAGAGAAGGGGAGACGACTCAATTTTTTTCTTTAATTCAAGCTCAAAATTTACAAGTAAAATGTTGGTTCTATTTAAATCAGGTGAATCCTTAATATTTGTGATTTTTTTTTTTTTAATCTAAGGCCGAATCCATTTACAATCGACTTTTTTGTAGTTTTTTTTTAACACCTATCTGTGTTTTGAAAGTTATGCTTGTATTTTATTTAATTTTTTACTAAGTATGGATACTAAGTATCGTTATAAAATGATTCAGATTAAAAAAATTTGAAATCTATATTTCGCATATGATCGATTACTTAAATACGTATTTAAGAGGGGTGCGATCGCCCCCTTTCCCCCTTAAAATACGCTCCTGAAGTGAAAAACAATATTTATATATATATGTTATATATAAGTTAACTAGTGTTATAAATTTATAATTATTAATTATTTTACCCTTACTGTTTCTTGCTGAACTAAAGGTATAGGCTGTGGATCATCAGGATTGACATCTTCATCTTCATCTGTTACTACCAAATCATTTGGTTTGTTTTTTTTTTGAAAAAACGATAAAATACTAGAATTATTCCTTTTCTCATTCATATTAATTAGTAAACGTTTTAATTTATAATAATAACTATTATGATTTAAAATTTATTGGGTTACAAAATTCAAAATTAATAATTATATTGAAACATTTAATCTTTTGATTCACACCGGCATCATAATATTGTTATGCCCATAAACCTTATACTAATAGACGGAGCATCACTGGTTGGCGGTGTTGGGTGGTGCGGTCACGACTATTCATTTTTTTTTAAATTATCTGGAACGCCATAGAAATCAATTGCCGATCCCTGATATAAGGTCTATGGTTATACCACTGATATACACAGATGTTTGGAATTGAACGGAACATACAAAACGCTCCATATTGTCATGTTATCTTTTTTATCAATTATAATATGAATCACGGTAGTTGTAGATTATAAAGTAATTATTACTCTATATTGTGAATATAATATTATATCCACAACCATCATACGAATAATATTCATATCAATCGATAATCCACCGTTTCGCGTATTTAAGATAAATAACTTTTTTCCTACGTAAAATTTGTAGAAACCTCAGAAAAATTTCGAGGGGGGTCACAACCCCTCCCCACTAGTTACGCCACAGGGTAACAAAGTTTTCTTTTAGTTATATGTAATTGTCCTAATACTTGATAATAATAGATGTTGTTGTTTTTTTTTTTAATTTTAATTCTCCGTTCTCAATCATACAATATTTCAGCTGTAAAATAATTAAGTAGTTAATTTAATCATATCTAATTCTTCGAACCCATTTAATAATTAATAAGGCTGCGCAGTTGCTTATATTATAAAACATAGAAAAATACTGATATGTAAGTATACACTATACATACTTTTCCAGTGTCTACTGCTTGTCTCCATCTACTGTATTTCTAGCAGCATAAGGAGCTTTAATTTCAATTAACCTATCGTTGTCAATGACTCCATCTAAATAGTTATTAAAAAATTATTATTTGTATACTACTTAAATTATTATCAAAATAAGTTGAACAATGTGGGTATTACAGTCAAAACTTATAAGTTTTTAAACATAACAAATTTTAAAAAAACTAACCTGGACTAGCGGCAAGGTATGGTATTCTTCATCGATCTATAATCCACAAGGCTTTACTTGAAAACTAGAAATTCTTCGAACTTATTTTTTTGCAATTTGTTCCATGTTTTTACCAAATTGTACTGCACTAAAGTGGATTTTTTATTTTGATAAACATTGAATAAATATCAAAAATAATCATTATTATCAAGGCTCGAAACTTTAAGCATTTGTATATTTGTCTAGAAAGTGCATATTGAAATTCTAATTCGATACAAATTCGATTCATAGTACGTATATTTCAGATATAAAAATTTTTGTTGCATAATTTTGCATATTTTGTTACTTTTTGTACTAATTCGCATATTTGAAGTTTAAGAACATTTATATGCATATTTCATGGATTCAACAACTTTTTTTAAAAAAATGTATAGTTTAATAATAAAATATTATTAGATATTACTAGTTATCGAAAGGGATTTTAATGTCTTTAATTTTACACTAACACTTTTTTGAATTTTTTCAAAAACCACGTGTCTAGATAGACTGTCTTTAATAAAATTATATATTATTTGAATTGTTCCAAAAAAATCAAAAATAATACTATTCCCTTTACGCGAAATGTAAGAATCTACAAGTACAAGGTTTAAACAATGAGCAAAACAATGTACGTATAATATTCTAGAGTTTTTTTTCTTTACATCGGGACTGAACTCCAGAAATATGACCTGCCATTGCGGTTGCGCCGTCAAAACAAACGGAAGAAACAGAGAGCCAATCGATTTTTAACTTATGGACTATTGTATTTAAAACATTAAAAATAGATTGTGCATCAGTAGTTTCTAGATGCTCCAGAGAGATGAATAATTCGATAGGTTTATTTTTTACATTATCAAAATATCTTACTACGATTGCCATTTACTCAATGTGACCATAGTCACTGGTCTCTTCAGCCATAACTGCAATCTGCTGATCATTTAACCTCTTGCATATTTCTTGAAACATCACATTATGAACTGAGGCTATTCATTTTGAATCTTACCACTCAAATATTGTGCGTCTTAGGCACATGTTCTAAATTATTTTTTATAATAGTACCGTATCGTTTGAGTAGATCTACGATTTTTAAAAATAGTCCTTTATTCACACTATCTTCATGCTCAAAATGTTCTCTGAATGAACTTCCGCTTTTGGTTAATAGAATTATAACATCAATTAAACGTTTGATAATTTCCTGGTTTTCTAAACGTATTTTTTCACGAGTTGCTAATGTGATTTATTTTTGTATATTCAACTTAACATCTATGGGAATTCCTTTTTTCAAATGTTCTCACGACATCGCACTATCAATATGACATTGAGACATCTCGTGTAGTCTAAAAGCTTCAGTGGCACCTTTCCAATTAGTAAAACCTTTCTTTATAAACGATTGATCGATATGACCTTTTTTAATTATATTATTCGTAGAGAATGCTCGAAAACAAAATTCTGCGTTTATACTTTCACTGCATTCTAACCATTTAAAAGTTTCGTATCATCATTTTTGAAAAGAACGAAATCGATCCCCGAATTTTACTCTTGGATAAAGAGATAAGTGGACTTGACAGGGTCCATTGAGTAATTTTGAGTGTCTTTCTAAACGATCAGATGGTAATGGTAAAGCTGGGTCATTATGTTCGATGAAAACTGTTTGCAATTTCAAATTTTCGGATTTTAAATTATCAGAAAGTAATACAATTGCTGTGATATTTTGAACTTCAACAGTTTTTAAATTGGAATTTACTGGTTCCTTATTTGAACTTTTTCGGATAATATATCTAAAAACCAACCAATATATAGATTCTAGAATATATGACTGTCCCAAACAATTCAGTATATTATTAAACAATTTATAAAATTATTTTATAATGTAAGATGTGCAATATTAGAATCAATATTAGTTTATAAAATTGTATAGCTAGGGCGCGGATTTTTATGTAATAAAAAAATCAAAATATGTAAATATTAAATGTTCTTATTTTTAGCAAAATATGTATTAATAAACATGAAATATTTAAAAAAAAGATGGGCAAGTGAGTGTCGTTCCGCTGTATAGTAGGTTACAAGTGGGTCACTGTAATGTATGGTATTAAATTTGAATTCAATGATATAATATCGTTGTATAAAAAAACGATTTTGAGCGAAGACGATCAATCAGTCTATAATATCTATATACCAACAAATAATATTTTAAGATTTTTTGGTTACAGTAGGAGTTATTTATGAGAATCTTTGTTTTAAATTTTCAATCCTTAGTTATAAATACTGAACATTTTATAATTTTTTAATTACATTGATTAATTTTTAAAAAGTTTTTGTTAAAGTTATTTACTATTTACTATATAGATACTTGGCTACATGGTCACTATATTCTATAATATTTGCTTGCACACCCACTAATATACACCAAGTTGTGGTACTCGAATTTCCATTTATTATATCGAAGTACATTTGGTTTGAAAACTAATAACTAGATAATAAATACCTAGATCTTATATGTAGTAATGCTTTGGTATAAATTAATTAAATTTAACACTTAAAAATAAATACAAAATTAATAATTTACCTGTCCATTTTGCTAACCAAGCATCTGTATCCTTAGTCCGTTTACCAGCAGGTATGGTCGTCAAATAAACAAAAAATATTAAATAACTATATAATGTCTATTTTTGGATTATTCGATAAACAATTGACGATTAGGAAATTTAAACACAATAATAAAAAAATAAATAAAACCCGTACTGAACGTATGAACAATGAAAATAATATAGCGAGACTCGCAAAATGACATTTTTTAAAAATAAATATCAATAATTTAAAAACTTTTGATAATGATTTGATTTCGATGGAAAGTTGTAATACTACTAAAAATATTTTTAATATTTAAACTATTCTATTTATTACGTACAGTTAATTTCTCAATTTTCTTTTGCATTTATACCTAATTTTTTTTATTAAATTTAAAATAATATATTCTTAGTAAATGTATACATTAACACGGAACTAATTAGCCTGGACCATGCCCAGTTAGCTCAGGCCGTAGTTCTGCCTATGTCTATTATTGTGATTGAATCCAAAATATATTTTGTGATACAGTTCAATACAGACAATAAGGCAGTGTATACACTATACGTTATACCAAGATTTATGAAGAAGAGTTAGCCAGTTAAGTAAGCCAGTTATCATGTTAAACCTTTAAAAATTTATTTTTTAACTTTCTAAAAATAAACTTTACTACCACAAAATTTGGACTTTAGTGACGCCCATGTATATAATATATATTGTATGTTATTTAATATCATAACATTTATTATTATATTTATATTTATATTTATTATTTAATATCAACAATCGCAATCATGTACTGGTCACTTAATGGACATAAAACAGGTTAATAAATATACACCATCATATATCAAGTTACACATCAATTATAAAAGCGCATGAAATGTTGCTAAACAGGTAATAAATTAATCAATAATTTATTCAATACAAGTTCATGTCAGACAGTTAATAATAATATGAGCAAGCATTACCATAAACTTAATAATAGAAAAATTGTATCAAAATAAAGTACAATAATATGAAAAATAATTTGAAAAAAAAAACTTAAAGAATAATTAAGCTCAATGAAAAAAAAAAGAAAAAAAATTTTAATTTGTATTTTAATTTGTACTTTTACAATCTTAATAACTGATAGATGTAGTTATAAATATAATAATAAATTTATAAATCTAAATATATATTATTATAATATAATTATATTATCAAAGCTATTTAAGATCAACAGCACTTATAGTCATGGACTACAATTAGTTAACCTTTTATTATTTTCTTGTTAGAGACATTTGGTTTTTTGATTATCAGATTTTATTTTTATATTTTAATTGAATACCAAATCTAGTTATAGTTCTGATAAATATAAATTGAACAAC